TAAAAGCCAATTCAGAGCCTTTATAACAAATAAAATGCATATTGGATGCATTGATAATCTAACTATTCACGAATTTTTGGTATCTGCTACTGGTATTGATGCATTTCCATGCATCATTGGGGTCGCAGAAGGTAAACAGCATTTGCGCCGATATTAATGGGTGGATTTTCCCGGATGCAGTATCTGCCAGAAAGTAGAATTTTGCTATTTTGATATTTCAGCTCAGAAATCTGACTGCTCATTTGAACCTGACAGACGATCAGTGAGTTTGCGTCCACACAACTTGCATTTGAACGGCAGGCTCGCTCTATCCTGACTCAAAGTAACCACATAGTGAAGGATCACAAGCCCAGTGGAGGACCACAAGCTAGCGTTTCAGTCAGCACTGCACTTGGGAAGTAAACAAAAGGAGGCTAATAAAGAGAGTAATGCCTTTACTTACAATGAATATGGATGAATTTAAATGACCAAGGGATCCGCCTAACACGTTTCATCTTTAAGCTGGTAAAATCTGTGCAAGTGAACTTGGTACCTGAGATTGTAGACATATAGTTAAATACACTTGAAGCTAACAAAAAATGTCTTTAAAATACGTAAAAAGAAGGACAAGGATCTTCGCATAGTGAACAATTTAAGGAAAATGCATGTCAGTTTCTTGGTTATTGGGAGAGTAGCAAATCACACTATGATTTTGCATGGCACACAGTAGTAAAACGGGTAATGTTTGGCGATTTGTACCGTTATGCCGTATTTCCTGCATCCCTAATGATATACTACTAAAACGAAATGCCGGACCTTGTTTATATAGCTGTCATTCAACCCGTTGTTCAACCCAAAAGTCAGTTTTTAAACGGTTGGTACGAAGTGCATCACATGTGAATAAGGAAGCTTTTACTTTCCCATTGACCATGGTGGCTAATTATGTGTTGATGATCAAAGAGGACCTATGTTGGGAGTTATACTCAAGAATTTTTTCAGGTTATTTCCCGCTTTTTTACTAATATATGGGAGAAATGAAGACGCTATTAGTTGTGCCGGGGCGGGAAAGTACAGAGCACTGTGACATAAAGGTTGAGAAAACGTGATAGCAGTGATTTCCATTTATTGGCAAGAATGTTGAACAGTAAACCTCATTAAACCGAAGAGACTAGAAAAGGATGGTCATTTTCTCTGTTATTGAGTGAAAAATTTGTTTGAACAACGGATAAGAAAAAGGACGCTTTTGGCTTTGTAGTGTCTTAGATGCTTAGAATGTTTAGAGAATTAAATAAATTTGACAGAACTTAAATATTTCTCCTGAAATGTGTCTGGATTGTATTGGGAGGAACGTCAGGACTAACGCTTGAAATATAGTTCTTTTTACATGCTCTCATATAGAGCACCTCTAAGGGCCACACATATTCCTGCATCTTCCAATATTGCATCTAATATTCAACTAAGTATATGCTATATGAAATGTCCAAAGCTGTTTTCCATTTTTATTTGTAGCGAGTGGCATTTAATTTAAAAGTACCAATTTTCATCTGCAGTGCGCGATCAGACTCCTGTCGATGACTGCAACTTCCAGATTACCCATTGTGTCGACTTTCTAGAGACATCCTCAACAACCCACAGTCCTTTCTCACCCGCCGACATCCCTCATTGTCTTAATTGAAGGACTCTGCTTACGCGGCCCTATAAGAAACGGGTCTATCAAAAGCCACAATTAGGCGGGATCAAAAAAAATCTCGACTCCTCAACACCCCACCACACAGCTCTCTGTGATTTAAGTACTGACAACGTCCACTTGCCTACTCACACACTTCTGCAAAGAGACGTTTCTACTTGCAATTTATGCACAGCTTGTGGTCATAGCAACAGCTTACGGCATTACTCAGTTGCCATTATACATTTCTTTATTGCATCACCAATGGATTCAATCAGTGCTGGTCTTATGTCCACACCTGACATTCATCATTTAAAATTCTGAAGACGATTCCTACAAACGACCTTCTAACAACAACCCAACGTCCGCATTGCCATAATTTCTCATTCTTGGGACGCCGAACCAAATTGATTCCAGATGTCTGGTTGGTAATTTAAAAACAGGGAGACGGGGGATATCATTCACTCTCAATTAGTTTCTAGATCAAAAAAAATGAATAACTTGCAGAAGTGCATGATGCTTGTTGCATCTATTTTATCATTTGTATGTCTTCAGCTTATGTACAGTCTATTCTTTCCTTTTTTTAAGAAAATGTGGTTTGTGACCCAATACAGATATGGAAGGTTTCTTTTTCATATATAAAAAAGTAAAAAGTGCGTTAAGACATCTACAAATCCAATTTATCCCAATAATCTTTGAGAAGAACAGACTCCCAATCTGTAGCTGCCACACCAGTGAATGCATGCGAGACAGAAGGTGGATGTGTACAGTTTTCGTATCCCTACACAGCCTTATTTTAGCCTTTCTCTAGTCAGCAGGGTGGTTGCGGAGAAAGTGTAGTAGGTCACTATTTAACGTGGTTTTTAGACTCTCGGTTATAGGCAGTTAAATAAGATAGAGACTGTGAGGGAAATCTCAACTATTTTAAAACCACTGCGGAGACAATTCCGTACTTTGCCTTTCTTCTATTATAATGAACCCAAGTAAATACTCGACGGCAATTCCTCTGCTTCTAAATCTTTATAAATATGCATAGTCTCACATGTTTTGACTCTAGGCAAGTGTTTATCTAAGTAACAAGCCCATAAGCAGGCTTGTTCTCGATCCGGCAGGTATCTCGATCACAGGTTTTAACTGTTCACCTAGATAACTAAAATGTCAAAAAGGAATTCATACATTCAAACCACTTTATAGGAACTCTCCTTCTTGCCGACTAATTTAAGCCAAAGAGTAAAGCAATTATGCAAAGTATGAGTAACAAAGCAGAGATATTACAGCTTTGGCAACAGCAATGTATTAATAATTTGCCAGTTAGGAGGAATAATATAGAAGGATATAGAAGAAGAAAAAGGAACAAGATCTTTTCTCAATGAGGTTTCTTTATAAAACAAACAGAAGGAATGGAAAAAGCTACTTCGAAGAAGGCAGATTTAAGCTCTAGCTCTTACTAATTAATTTTAGCTTTCTTAAAATAAGTGCTTTCTTCCGAGATCTGTGACGCAGTATGTAAGTGTAAGGCATTTTCCAGACAATTTTATCCTCAAGTTTTCCTTGTCTTAAATACTGAGATTAAAAAATGTAGAGTATGTAGAACAAAGTGCGAGTTTTGTCAACCATACGTTAGTTTGGGAATGTTTAGTAGCAGAAGGCTAGCTTACGATTTGATGGTCTATTTGATGCTAATTGCACACAGTGCGAGTAGACACGGAAATGTACTGCTTCCAGAAGCAGCTTTATGATGCACTCATGTAACTTCAAGTAAAATGATGCTTGTCCTACTTTAATTGTCACTGCACCAGTCATCTTGTCTGAATTGGGATTGCTGCGTGATTGGTTGATTAACTTTTTTCAGGGATTCATTTTTCTTACGGATTCTTAACTTCGTACCACATCTCAAAGCCAATCGGATGCAGGCCTTCCATTTTTACTGCCAATCACACAAATTGAAAATCAGCTTAGAAGTTGAGGTGGAAGAAAATTGGTTGAATGTATGTACACTGGTGTGGAATGCGCCTTCCAAAAATTATAACATTATGCTCTATCTACTTCTCTTTATAGCTTGAAAAGGATTGGGAACAACCCATCACATTCTTATCACTTTCTGATCAAGGGACAAAAAGCAATATCCGGTTTTACATTCTCATGAAAAAGGTGCTTTTAGATATGTGAGGGTCAGAAATATCGTTTATTAAGGTACTTAATCTAGATTGGAAATTGAATTCGGTCGATTGTTTAATTACAGACATTGACTGCTCACAACATCGATCCGCGCGGCTTTAAAAGAAACCCTATTTTGCGTGCAAAAGTGATCTTACGAGTAAGGCAGAAATGGGAAGTGTGGATGTTCGTAGTGATCCAGTAAGTGATTAACTTCATTTCACTTTTTTGGCAGGTAGTTGTGGTAAGGCATATACAAGGTATTCAAAAAGAAGGAAAGTTTGTAAGACTAACAAAAACATGTAATGCTTCGATGATATTCTATAATACCCGTCGTGTACTATTCTACCTGACATCTAACTAGGCATTTCAAATTCAAAAATAAAAACTCCATGATCGCTTAGGTACCTTTGGAAACAGAGACACGGGTTCACCTCTTAAAGGTGCCTCCTACTTCCACATATTTCTTCAAAACCATTTTTACATTGTTAATTATAGACCCTACAACTTACTACCAAGAGTGGACGTGCTCTGAGAGGTGCCCACTTCAGCCGGTTCATCATGACTGCCATCGTCAAACCCAGATTTGCTGATACATGATCGGTGCTAAAATGCCTTATAACGGATCATCGACTGATAATTGACAGCGAATTTGCATAAGACCGACCCTTAGGTGGCCTACTACCTAGGAATACCGCAAGTTAAAGTTAAATTGAACTGAAGGGATGCTTTAATAGGAAAAGTTACGATTTCTATGTTCTATCATTATGTTATAAGATATCTGGGCGTATAATTTCGTCACTTCTGCATAATGACAATGGGAACGCGAGGTAGCCCTTTATAAAATTGCTAAAACTTACCGACTACACTTTTATGTCTTTTTCAAGGTGGAATGATGATATCAGAATATTGGTTTAAATCAACTGCAATAAACAAGTATAGGCGTAGTTGTTCATGAATGAATGGCCTTTTTCGGCCAACTTTAATAGATATATCTGAGAATGATTTAAGTAGGTCACTGTAAAATTATGCGAAAAATAGACAACAATGCTTTAAAAAATCGATGCTATTAAAGTACGTAACGACGACAAAATCTGTTCACTAACTGTTATTTAGTGCTAAACCCTAAAACTTTAAAATCTTGTAACTTAGAAACAGAAACTTTATTTTTAATCTGCACATTTTTTTATTCTAGAAGTGTTATATTTTATCTGCAATTTTTAGTAGTAAACATAGGTACTAAGAAGTTTCTAACTGAATATTTTTGATTTTCTTAGCCATAACACATGCAAATAAACTCCTTCAAATGATATTGGTCTAATCAACAAGCGAACTGCAAACGAAGTAATTGTATAGCACAAACAAATAATTAACAGGTTATTTTTAGTTTCCCATATTGCTCTAAATATATATTATAGGGGTTTTCACATACGTCCCGTGTCACTAAATTAGCCTGGATGCGGTACATTTGCATTTGATCAAAAGGTCGGTATTTCTGTTCTTATAAGCTCTATATATTACAGTACTCACCTGACAGTTTTGACAAGCAATTTATGCTCATAAAGCTAAAATGTGACTTGATCCTTTCGTCATTATTAAATGGAAGGCTGATGTTTCTACCTTCTCTAGATTGAACAATCCACTGCCGTCACATACAAAACCTCTGGTTAATATTAATACAAACTGCAGTAGCTTTCAAATTGCATTAAACGCACTTTGTTAAGCGGACAAACTTAAGTGCCATCTATCAAGTCCATTTAACATTTTAGGGGGTAAGTGCAAAAAAAAAGGGTAAAAATGCGCTGCAAACATACATAAGTAAGACCTTTTACCAGTTTAACCCCTTTACTACAAGTTTTTAAAAGGAGGATTTTAAAGTAGTTAAATACTATTCACAAATCAAACACAAAGTCCTATTAAAGAGGGATAAAATAGTAAAAGATATCTAACTGAGTTCTACACTGCGAAAAAAGCTCATTTAAAACTGTAACTTATGCTGAAATGTACAAGTATTGCTAATAAAAGTGTACAATTTAAAAGTGGTATTGCTTTATGCGAACACGTAAAGTGAGCAGCGAGATTTGGTGGGAATCATTAAAGAGAAGTTGTGCGATCAGAGGCTCAAGAGATGTTAAAAGGCAAGTTGAATTAGAGTGATTTGAATTTTACCGCTCTAACTAGATTGTAAGTTTAAAATCCTTTTAATTCCGTAAAATTTCATCTATTAATATTTATCGGCAAGCTTGGACTATATCTTCAATGTGTTTTGCACATATCGTTTACCATATACCAATGTTAATGGGACTCGTGTGACGTCAAGGATCCTCTAAAACATCCTGCGTCAAAATGTATAAAATTTTTCCTTTTAACTGCCTTGAAGGGCTCGATTGTGCGACCACACCCTCGTGGTTGACTCCATATAAGTGTAAGACATTCCTATTATACAAGGCAGCATTCGAGGTTTCCCTTTTACTTAAAGTGAGTCATATTACACAATGACCAATTTTATTGTTTGGACATCCTAGTACAAATCCACAATGCGCAATCCATTTGCTGCGCATGACTACAGTCCTTGAAGCACGCGCCCTCATATGTGTTTTGGAGTCCTTTCCTTTCCT